TACGAAATCAACGAATAAATAAGATAGCATGTGTTTCTTTGACGAGTAATATCAACGTTACGTTGTTGTTAGACTTATTTTACGGATAATAAAGGACATAAGGCAAAAATTTTTTTTTATTATCTTACACATATTAACTGTATTTGGTTGGTAATGAAATCTATTTGAGGTTTTTTTTTAAATCTATTTTCATCAATATTTACCAAAGTTTTCAATGAATTTTTTCATACACAAATTAACCCATGGCCACGTATTACACATTTCATATTGTGTCCGCAATTATTGAAAGGAACATAGGAATGCCTTACAATGTCCTCATCGGCGTATTGCAGAGAAGAAGGTACCGGTATTAAATAATGGTTTTTGCTTCAAATTAAAACAAAAAAAATAAATTGCAAGGAAACCATTAGGTAATAGTATCCAAAAGAATATTGCCTTGATGGTGACTGGGGACAACGAAGTCAAAGAAAAATACAAGAAAATGAGTTGTCTTACATGATCGGTGTCCATACTTTGCCGACATGTCCGTGTCGGTCAGCATTATTATGATATATAGTCTTATAGACACAGCTTTATGGAACAACAATCACTGGTTAAAGATTTATTTAACGTTTCAACGTGTTTCCCCCTTCGTCCTGGGCGAATAATGTTAAGAAGTGATGGGCAAACTGTACAGTGGTGTAACCTATTTTCGTGGATATAAGGATTCAACACCGAATTTCGAAAAAAGTTAAAAAAAAAACGTCTTAGATGTTTCCTCAGATATTCTACAAAGTAATTAGAATTGGCTTGTTTCGATTTTCTTTATGAATCTCTCACTTTAACCCATATTTCATGAGCAACCAACTCGGCAACTGCGGCAGAATGCGTCACCTATTTTCGTGTACAATGTTTGATCTATAAATAAGTCTAGAAAAACACGTTGTATGGATACCGGGTGGTATAATTAACTTCTCTTAGAATTTATCTAGTGACAATTCCTTCAAAGAACCCAAATTTAAAAAAAAAAAATTGACAAAATAAGATACGTAGCATGATTTATCGCTAAAAGTCACTGAAACAACATAAGAATATGGCCCACTTTGTGTTCCATAGAATTTTTCTGCTGACATGGAATCCGCTACTTGATCACGTGACTTCATCCGTTGGACTACATTCTAGCAGACGACACTTGGTATTCCGATTACCGCTTAGGATTATAAGGAAATTCGGCCGATAAAAAATGGTGACGTTTGGTAATAACTGAAATTCGCCATTTTGTATTTGTCATAGTATACATTAATACATTTTACCTTGCTTGAAACTACTGGATTCATTCTACTAGCTGACATTGTAGAGATAACATATGTTTATTGAAACAAGCAAATGCGAAGGTCACGCGAGGTTGCACATGTAAATTATTAATCATTTCCGGAAATGTACGAAAAATAGGTTAGCACGAAATTAAGTTACATGACTGTACATTAATTCTTATTATTAGGAACACACAAGAGATAAATGTTTTTTTCATACATTACATTAAATTTTAACAGGTACCTGGCTAGGAAACACATCGAAATGTTGCATAAAACTTTAGCCAGTGATTGTTGTTCGATAAAGCTGTATCTATATATCGTTCCTGCAATTTCTAAATGCCATTCAAAGACTTCATTATTATGATGTGGGTATTTTAAGTTGCGAGTAAGTAATGTTACGAAAGCATGGGCACAGGCATGTTGGCTAAATGGTCCATGATTATCAAATTTCAAATATATATGCTCAAATCTATTAGGCCTATTCCTTGATGCTTTGAATATCTGGTAGAATATTTGAATAGACTTACTAATGGTTCAGCTCATCCCAAAAATAAAAAATTATGTCAGTGCCGATCCAAAAATTGCTCAGACTCGACACATTTAAAATTTTATGTCTGGCCCTTACCATGAAAATTTATATCATTTCTATACTGTCTGACTACATTGAGCTTTGAATTGAAGTTTTTCTCTCATTTCATAAATATTCAAAATGTAATTTTAAATTATATGCCATTTGTCTTAGAATGTCTTCGGGTCCATAGAAATATAAGGTTTAGTGATATTACATTTGAAATTCCCTCCTAGAAAATTTAAGTGAAAATGACGTAGTTTTCGGACTGAAAATTCAACTCTGTAAAATCATGTTAACAAATAATAACCTTTCCAGTAGTTAACGTTTTCAACAACTTAAAGGCAATCCAAGACTCTCGGTATTATTTTGTAATTGATAATTCTATTCATGTGGAAATGATTGCCAAGATTCAATTCAGAAAACAGAGAGTAAGCAACTGGTAGGGCCAGATTAATAGGGCTATTGTTTTTGATGCACTAACAAAGAATTGTGTAATTGATTGTTATAGGTAAAGATAAGATGATATTTACAACAGAAGAAGAATTATCAAAACCAAGCACGGCATTAATAGATATAGATACATATGAAACAGATGAAAAAGGTTCTGAATCTGATGTGTTCATTTCAAAGATCTGCCATGACCTTATTTTGTAATACGCCCATATTATAATGTGGACGTATATTGTCGTCACCCATGTCCGTCTGTCTGTCCACAAGTGCCTTGTGAATGCGATAGAGACTACAGTTTTCATCTGATTCGAATGAAATTTGGTGTGATCATTTATATTGATGAGGTCTTGGACAAATTCGATATTCACGATTTTTCGATGAACGGTTTTTGAGTTATTGCCCTTGACTTAGCCAAAACGCGTCAAAATTGGCTTGTGAACGCGATAGAGACTACAGTTTTCATCTGATTCGAATGAAATTTGGTGTGATCATTTATATTGATGAGATCTTGGACAGCTTCGATATTCACAATTTTTCGATGACCGTTTTTTGAGTTATTGCCCTTGACTTAGCCTAAACAAATTGAAATTGGCTTGTGAACGCAATAGAGACAACAGTTTTTATACGCCCACACATTAATGTGGGCGTATATAGTCGTCGCCCCTGTCTGTCTGTCCCTGTCCTGTCCTGTCCTGCCCTGCCCTGCCCTGCCCTGCCTGCCGAATCGAAGAATATTTACTATGAGTTATTGCCCTTGTTCTTGAATTGTTTGTGGACACAATAGAGAGCTGGTCTCTTGGTGTATTTTGACTAAACTTGGTGTGAGTGTTTGTAATCATCCAAGGATGAACCCTATTGAAAATCAGACGAATCATGGACACGATAGAGTGTGGACACGAAAGAGAGCTGGTTTCTTAATAGATTTTGACGAAACTTGGTGTGAGTGTTTGTTATCACCCAAGGATAAACCCTATTGAAAATCAGACGAATCGAAAAATATTTACTATGAGTTATTGCTCTTGTTCTTGAATTTTTTGTGGACACGATAGAGAGCTGGTTTCTTGATGGATTTTGATGAAACTTGGTGTGAGTGTTTGTAATCACCCAAGGATGAACCCTATTGAAAATCAGACGAATCGAAAAATATTTACTATGGGTTATTGCCCTTGTTCTTGAATTGTAAACTGTAAAGAAAACTCATGAAATATGAAAATTTCACTCTCAGAAACATTCATTAACTGATAATTCTTGTCAACCTCCTGGACAAATTAGCTGCCATTACAAATGTGGGCATATTACGATGGCATCGCTTTTTTTTGAAAATTTAACAGGCACTTTATTATGTTCTTTGCCAAGTGATGATAGATGATTTTGTTTCAATGTTAGATTTGTCATGTGATTTTATTCAGACATTATCACCTGCCACTTTTTTTTTCAGGACCTGTTTTAGACAATGGGGAAATAAATTTCCACTGTACCTGTGCAGGGACTATGTTCTCTGGACCGTGTAATATAGAAATTAGAGAATTTTTAACTTGTTCAAATAAAGATAAAAGTCCAGAAAAATGTATGGAACAATTTGAAGCCATGTTTAATTGTGAATTAGACTATCCTGAAATTTATGATATAAAAGATAAGTTAGAGGGTGTTGATGATAAAGCAAGCAAGACTGTGAAGGAATTGGATCCAGAAACAAAGGAATCTTAAAGTGTTTGAATTTATTATGTAGATGATAGAAATAAAAGTAGCCTGAGCAAAACCAATATCTTGGAAACATGAAATGACACAGAGCAGTGACAAGAGGAACACCAAAATATTTGTTGTCTGTTAACAATCCAGATTGATCACTAGTCTTTATAATTTAATAATTAAAAATGACAGTTGATACTTTGGAAATATATCATGAGGGCCCTATCTGAATTAACCTCAAATAATATATTACAGAATTATAGAATTACATTCTCATCTCGGAACTGCACTGTGGTGATCGATGATTGAGGTATTGAATTCATAATAGAATTAAAAGCTACCTCCTCTTACTATGATTCAGCTCTTCGAAATATGCAAATTGACGTATAGTCCAGCAGAATAGACCCCAGATATGAAGGTATTGTGCATTTTGTGATACAAGCACAAACTTTGGCATAAAGTTACTTTAATACGTTGTGAACATTTTTGGATATGGAGCTGCTTGAATTCAAAATGGCGACCATCAAAACTATTTTGTTTTTGATATTTCTGAATTTTTGTCGGCTATAAACTTGTTCTCAACAGCTAATTGTATATTTTAGGGTCAAGGAATTCAATGGCTTATGTTTCAAGTGGCTACAGCAGCGGCCATAATGAATAACAAAATGGCGACCATAAAAAAACTACAATTGTCGATATATTTGGTTCTGTGTCAGCTATAAACCCATTCTTTGTGTCTAATTGTACATTATTGGGGTCAAGGAATACAATTATCCAGGTTTCAAGTAGCTACAATTGTCACCATGTTGAAAGTAAAAAAAAGCAACCATCAAAAATCGATAAGTGTCAATATTTCTGGAACTATGTCGGCTATAAACCCGTTATTAATCATAAACCCATTCCTAATTTTACATTTTGGTGATCAAGGAATGTAATGATTTATGTTTCAAGTAGCTTCAATATTATGAATTTCAAATTGGCGACTATCAAAAATCTGTAAGTGTCAATATGGGAATTAAATTATTTGAAATGAGCAGATAATATGGAAATAAATGATTTTTTGCAGTCTAGATTATTTGGAAACCATCAGTTTTGACCATTTTCATTGTATGCAAACTAGTCATTATTGTTTCAAACAATGAATCGCTACTATTTTATTGTATTCATCTAATCAAACATTATAACTTCATGGTTAATGATTATCAAACAATCAAAATAAAGAAAAATCATGGTTTCCAAACCAGGAAATCGTCCAAATTGCTTTTTCGAAAAGAAATATACTACTTAAACTCATTGGATGGAAATAATGAAATTTTCCAAACCATAAAAAATGTTGGAATCCATGGGATGGAAACAATCAAACACAATATCATTGTTTCCAAACCAGTACTTCAAAAATTTGATTATTTCAAACCATGAAAATCCGCACTGTTGGCATGTTGGGGGTGTGTATGGTGCACATATCAAATAAAACAGTCATAATTGATTCAACAATCAAAATTTAATCAGGAACAATCAAATTAAAATCACAACACGATCATCTCACATGAAAGACAAAGCTGAAACTAATTGTTTCGTATTTTTTAACTTTTACATCTTGGAGTTATGTCCCTTTACCACAATCGAGATACTCATTAATAATCCAGATATACAACAGACGTCGTTCTTTGCATACCACGAAACTGTTACATATCTAATTTTGATTATTTGCATCCCAGCAAAGCATCAAAGCATGGTTTTTCATACCATGCAAACTGCCTGCATTAAATTCCCACTTGGCGCGATTAGATTATCTAATTTTGCTTATTTTCATCTAAGCAAACTAACCGTCATGGTATGCACACATGGTTTGCGCAGTACACACTGATCTATATATAGACCAGTGGCAGTAGCCTACATCCTTTTTAGTTTATTGTCATTCCTATAAGCGACTTTGACCCAGGGACGAGGTTTTGTAATTATGATAACGCACATTGTTCACTGAAGACAATTTGGCCGCCTTTTCGTGTAGCCGTCGATTCGAGCTGTCAAGTTAGCCGCCTTTTGACAGCCACCGATTCAAAATAGTGATACTAACTCCCCCAAACGATGAAATATTTCTTAACCAATCACTGCCATGGATATATGATATTAAATGAAAGTAGATGTAAAAATAGTACATAAGTTTTCAACTTTTCTGAAAATCTACACTTATAGACATATTGCGGCTCAAATTACGACCCATCGTACAAAATTCTCAATATTGAGACTTATATATTTCAAAAGGGCATTGAATGAGCTTTCATAAAATTTAAGTTAAAACCTGGCACATTTATATTAAAGGGTAGTTGTCTCACTCTAAAATATATACAGGTTTTAATTTTTTTTAAATTTTCATTTTTTGTTTTTCGAATTTTTGAGCAAATATCTTTGTGCACATCTAACAAAACATTATGTTTAGATTGTTAAACATAGTAACAAACTTTATGTTTAGATTGTTAAACATAGTAACAAACTTTATGTTTAGATTGTTAAACATAGTAACAAACTTTATGTTTAGATTGTTAAACATAGTAACAAACTTTATGTTTAGATTGTTAAACATAGTAACAAACTTTATGTTTAGATT